TACAGAATATACTATCACACGGAATATATACTATACATGTTAGAGAACAATATATCAGAGGACAGAATATATCTCATGCAGGATATAAGCTAGAGAGCATATTAGGTTATCTTCTATATTGTATAAAGTATAGAATACACCACATAGAGTATATATTCATAAATAAATTAGCAGTATAGTAGAATGTAAAATGTGTCTTCACAAAAGAAAAGATAATGGGGACTGCAGAGGGGCAGGAAGAAGTGGATTCCAAAGTCAATGAAAGACTAGGTCTCCCCAAGAAAACGTCACAAGCAAAGACTCAGAGGATGTGAGGGCATCTGTTCTGTGTAACTGACTGTTTCCCCCCCTGCTTTTGCCCTTAAGAATATCAGAAGCAGGCCCTCCCTGATGGCGCAGCGGGTTAAAGCACAGCACTAAGAAGCTAAAGCCACTTCAGCATGAGTTTGATTCCCGCCTGCCCGGGAGGAGATCCACGTGGCGTGGCAGACCTCTCCTGACCCACCTGCTGTTCCCCTCAGCAGTGTACTTCCTCAATCTGCCTCTTCTGTTCCCCACTCTGTCTCTAGTGAATCCTCTCACCCTCCGTATCTCTGGCCTGTACCCCAGTTCTGTATGAATAAATAAATAAATCTTAAAAAAAAAAAAAAGAATATCAGAAGCAAATTGGAGGCACAAGCCCAGTCGCCTAGAGGCCTCTGTGGTCTGCAAATTGTGGTCTCTGTCCTTGGAGAGGCGGGACACAACAGCGGTTAAGAGCATGAGTTCCAGGATCAGGCAGATCAAGTTCCGGCTCTGCTCCTTAACAGCGTGTGACTTGGGGCATCATATTTAACCTCCGTGAGCCTCCGTCCCCTAGACCTCAAGATGAAAAGAAGGAATGGCTTCTACTTCATCTACTTCAGGATCAGGCAACAAAATGTGCACAGATCCCTTTATTTGCAAAAAGAACTCAATAAAAAAAAACTGAATTATTAAGCCTTGGTTTTGTCCCTCAATGTTTACTTACATCTTCCTTCATCCTAATTCTCTATCTTTATTGATATTTTAACATTGTTTTATGGTTTCTGTTCCTGTGGTAAGCTACCTCAAATCCTCTGTGGCTTGGAATGGGTTATAAATAAGTAAATAAATAAATAAAAATCTGGATGGGGAACAGTTTCACTGAAGCAAAACATTTCATTAGAGTGAAGTGCAAGTGAGGCCAGCAGAATGAAATACTGAAATCTTGGCTCCAACCTCTAAACATCTATCAAAATCACCAGCAAGACACTGTGTTTTCTGGGGTTATCTTTCACCACCCCACCTCCTCTTCCCCAAAACACTCATCCTGGGCCCTCCCTGGTGGCATGGTAGGTTAAAGCACAGCATTGAGAAACTAAAGCCACTTCTGCATGAGTTCGATCCCGGCCCCGGAGGTGACCCACGTGGCATGGCAGACCTCTCCTGACCCGCCGGGTGCTCCCCTCAGCAGTGTACTTCATCGATCTGCCTGTTCTGCTCCCCACTCTGTCTCTGGTGAATCCTCTCACCACCCCTGCACCTCTGGCCTGTACCCCAGTCTGTATGCATAAATAAATAACTTTAAAAAAAAAAAAAACACTCTTCCTCTCTCCATCAAGAGAGGATACATGAGTCACACAGTGGCCAGTACGCTTAATTCCTCCCGACCTCACAGCTGCTACACTGTCATGTGCCTCATAGAACTCTTCTTTCCCATCATGAGGAGGAAAGAAATTAATGGGATCTACTTCCATGGGGTCCAGGCTAGGCGAGGGGGTGCTGGTTCAGTGCACAGAGTCAGACATTGGTTAGGCTCTGTTGAAGTCAGGGAGGGGCCGTTAGTAAGCACAATGACTGTGGGGAATCCCCTGGACCTCTGCCCCTGGGCTCAGATTCTTCATCCATAACAACAGCACCTCCTTCCTCAGGTCCCCGAAATAATGACAGGGGAGGAGGAAGCAAAGCATATAGCTGGCTTGTTTCTAAAGCCTCCAGACTTTCCTTTAATCACTGTACCCCCAGGGTAACACTGAATGGGCAGTAGAATCTCTTTAATAAGAGGGTGTACAGGCAGAAACAGGGTGAGAAGATCATTGTAGGCATATACCTATGTGATGGGAGCTCTCTGTAAGTAACAGGACAGATCAGCCATTTTTTGAGCCACTTAGCACTTTCTAGGTAAATCATCACTCTTCTTCCTCCTCTTAACCCTTTGTGATGGGCATTGCTATTACCCACATATGATACCTGGGGCTGGGCTTTGAACGAACAGCACACAGTAAGGAATGTTTGAGAGGCAACTCAGGCAGCCAAAGTTGATGTAATGAAGGCTAGCCTAGAGGACAACAGATCACCACTCACAGAAACCTGTGGAGTCTCAGCCCTGCCTGGAGCGTGAGTCCAGCTGGGCTCAGCAAGCCCCTCTCCCTCCACTCCCTTCCATCAGCTCCCAGGGCCTTCACTGTCTTCACCACATCCCTGCTCCTGGGAGCTTGGCTTTTGAAAGTATCCAGATCTGAATTTAAAATACACATCCCTCATATGTCAACCTAGGACCTTAAATAAGTCATTTATTCTATCTGGTTCCTCTTCTGAAAAAAGTGGACATCAAAATGCCTTCTTCCCAAAGTTGCTGTGAAGATTAAATAGAGCAGTGCATTGAAAAGGCACAAGCCAATGCCTGCCTGGTAGCCTATTGTTATACTCATAGCATCTGGGGCAACCCGCTTTATGCTGAATGATTGAGATGATGCTCTCCGAGAGAGCCAGCAGGGCCTGGAGCACTAGCTGACATGTACCACACTGCCATCCAGACAGACCAAGCATCATGGCCGGTTACATTTGATCCTTCCCCTCTTTCCACAAGACATGATTAGTGGATACAAGAAGTCCTTGCTGGGCTCTGTGTCCTTCCTAAGGAAAACAGACTAATCAAGGCCCATGCAGGGCCCCCATTAACCACCCTTAATCCACAAATGTATTGATAGTCCCTGTTGTGCTGGGAACTGAGAGAACAAGCCCAGTCCTAGCCCAGGAATTCATCACACCCTTGGGGGAAAGGGCAAGGAACCACTGTCACAGTGGAGAGAAAGGAATGAGGGTTGAGTATCCCTGGGAATCTGAGGGAAGGCTCCATGAAGAAGGAGGTATTTGAACTGGACCTTAAAAATTAGGTAAGTAGGCCCTCTCTGGTGGTGCAGAGGGTTAAAGCACAGCACTAAGAAGTTAAAACCACCTCAGCATGAGTTCCATCCCCACCTGCCCCAGAGGTGACCCACATGGTGCAGCAGACCTCTCCTGGCCCGCCCGCTGCTCCCCTCAGCAGTGTACTTCATCGGTCAACCTGTTCTGCTCCCCACTCTGTCTCTGGTGAATCCTCTCACACCCCTGCACCTCTGGCCTGTACTCTAATTCTGTATACATGAATAAATAAATCTTTTTAAAAATTAGGTAAATATTCAGCAATCAAAAACAGATAAACTCATGCCATTTGCAGCAACATTGATGGAGCTGGAAGGGATCATGCTAGTGAAATAAGCTAGAAAGAAAAAGAAAAATGTCAGATCTCACTTATAGGAAGTCACTTATATGTCACTTCCAATAAGGAAAAATGTCACTTACAGGAAGAATATAGGGGAACCAAGCAAGGAATCAGAGTAAAAAAGACAAAATTAGCAGGCAAACTATAAATCAGAGACATTCAGCAGGGGCGAGGAAGAGGGAGGGGTCAAAACAGGGGAGGGAAGAACACAAGAGACTGTGGTGACTATTTATGGGTGATTTGGTGGTGGGAATTTTTTAGAGACTATACTACACCTGGGAGGAACATTGTACAAAAAAATGAACAATAATGTAATATATATATATTATATAAATGCACAATTATATATATAAATACACACACATATACACATATGTACACATACATTATATTCATACATAGGTATTTTTTTTAATTAGGTGAGATGGGGGTTGGGGGAGGATTGGAATTCCAAGATGAAAGCACAGCATAAATAAAAAGTCATAGGTAGAGAAATAGAGTCTGTTTACAGGACAGAGTAGTCTGATGAGACTCAAGAACTGAGATGCCAGTAGACCGAGGTAAGAGCTGGCAGAAAAGATTCAGTATGCATCAGAAACACAAAATAAAGGTCAATGCAACAATAGAGAAAATGGGGACAGCGGGCCTACAGTCTGAAATAGGATGGTCACAGAAGGCCTTTTGGAGGTAGGATATTTAAGAGGTGAAGAAATAAACCAAGGGAATACTAGGGGAAGAATTTCCAAACCAAAAAGTAAAAGAAAACACACACACAGCCATGCAAAGGTCCTGAGGCCACAGAGTGGCCACCATATGGATGATTTATAAGAAAGGCCAGTGTCACTGGAGTGGGAGGAGGTGAGGTTAGTGAGTTCAAAAGGGAGGCAGCCCATGAGAATCTTGCAGGGTGTAAAGGCCATTTAGCTTTCACTTGGATGGATGAAATGGAGAACCACTGTGGGTTTTCCAGTCAGGGGCAGCCGGATCTGCCCTGCATTCAAAATCCCCCTAGTGGTGTGTAGAGAATCAACTGCAAGGGGCAGAGGGTGGAAGCAGAGAGACCGGTAAGAAGGCTATTGAAGAATCCAAAGATAGAGTATAATGGCTGGAACAAGAGAGAGGTGGGTGCAGTGGTGCAAAACACCTTGGATTCCCACCTCCCTCCCAAAAATGGAGTATAGGAAACCTGCCCCGTGTGCAGCCCAACGCTTCAAAAAGCCCCACGGGGGTGGAATGTCTGTTACCTCCCGCTAGTGACCAGCCTAGGGAGTGTGGGAGTGTGGCGTGGGGGTGTCCAGCCCCTGGTGCCCACAAGAAAGCCCAGACCATGCACGCCCTAGCGACATGCGTCATGAGGGCCAGACCTGGCGGAAGGAGGTCTTGCTCCCCAGAGACTGAACTGGGGAAAAGCAGGGAGGCATTTGCCTCTTAAGGGAGCCCCGGAACATGCGGCACTATGTATGCCCCGATTTGCGGCCACTATGCTTGTGCATGTGTGAGCATCTTGCGGGCGTCATGCGGAGCCAGAGCACCCCCTCCGTGCAACTCTCACCCTCACCTCCAGCTCTGACCTTTCGTATCGCAGGCTGTACCCCCATCTGTCTGCCAGTCCTTTCCCCCACCGGATTCAGCACGCAAGGCCCCGCCGGGTTCCCTCTGGCGGTCGCGAGAGAAGCGCAACCGGGGTTCGGGGCTCTTGGGAGAAGAAAATCATGAATGAAACGGTTGCAGTGTTTCCTCTCCCCCTCCCTCCCGGTCCAGGCAACCTCTGCGCGCTGGAGGTGCCTGCGGAGACTCCGAGCAGTCTTGGGAGGAGGCGGACCTGAGAGCAGGGTCGGGGATCACGGGTGTGCGAGCCGGCCCCTTTGGGACGCTGGGCGCTGCAGGAGGTCCCCGCGCCCCGCCCGCCACCTCGCCGGCCCTGCGCAATTCCCCGCGAGCGGCACCAGCCAGCCTGCGAGCCCGCCCGGGGGAGGGGCGGAGCCCGGGCCGGGGTGGCTGAACCCACCCGGCGGCGTCGCCCCCGCGACTCCGCAACTGAAGCACATTTGCTGGAGCAAGGGAGCGCGCACGGAGCGCGGGACGGAGCGCTGGGCGGACGGACCGACAGACGGACGCCCCCGCACACGCAGACGCACAGAGCTCGGCGCGGCCCCGCCACACACACGCGCGCACACACACGCACACACTCGCGCAGACACACACAGGGGCACACGCAGGCACACGCAGACTCGCGCGCGCACATCCTCCCGCCAGCCTGCCAGCCCGTTCGCCGGCGCCCGGAGCCCGCTCCGCCCGGTAAGTGTGGCGCCTCCGTCGTGCCTTTGTGTGGGGAGCTGGAACGCGGAGGGCGCGGGGTCCCTCCCGCGGCAACCCCGCGACTGAGACCTCCTCCTGCCCCCAGAGCCCAGAAGCCAGCGCCCGCCCCCGCCACGCCCCCATGGGGCTGCGGGCGCCCCCGGACTGGGGGAGGGGTCCCTCGCGCGGGGCAGTGGGCCCGGCGCTCGGTAGCCAGGTAGGAGCCGCTGCCACTCCCCACGAAGCTCGCGAGTGGTTCTGAGGAGGGGTCAGGAGAGTCGCTCCGGTCCAAGCCTCTGCGGGTGAGACTGGTGCGTGGCTGTCCGTGGCCTCTCTGGGTCTGAAGCCCTGCGGGGAGATCGGCGATGGCCTCTAGACTGCTGGTCCATGCTGCCCACCTTCCCCTAGCTTCACCACCCCCTAGCGTGTAG